CCAGGGATAGTAGCAAAAAGGTGTCTTCAAGATATATGGCTAAACAAATCTCTTTGTTAAAAATCACTCTTTCGAGCCGATTCCCATATCATTCAAGTTGGCATGTTCAAGATAGTTCATCTCTCAATCTATCACACTTTGACACTTTTAGAGAGTGACCAACCCGTCGGGAGTTAAGTTTGAAAAATATAAATGACAAGTCTCCTTGTCGATAACTTTCTCTAGTCTACCTCTCATATCATTCAAGCTGGCGTGTTTATCAATGGCTTATCTCTAAGTCCATGACACTTTAACACTTTCAAAGTGGTCAACTCGTCAAGAAGTGTGCTTGGTTTTATAAAACTTGAATGAAATAGTGGAACATTGTTATTACGAAACAACATCCACTTTCATTCGGTTTAACATTTCATCCTTTACCCTACACYCGAGCTAATGGAATTAGCTACTCATTACAGAAAGTAAATGACATAAAGTAAAGACATGAATGTAAATGACTGGATATAAATGACAGAAAGTAAATGACAGAAAGTAAATGACGAAAAATAAATGACGATAAAAGTAAATAAATAAATAACAAATAATGATGTAGCACCTTAAGATGAAGAACAATATTTAAATAAAAACTTAAGAACTTGCATAAATATAAAACTAATAAAGGTTTAAAGTGTTTGAGGATGGAAAGCACAAGATGAGAAAATGTTCAGGGGATGATTTCTAAAGAGGCACCCAAGGTCCCCTTTTATACATACAAGTTAAACTAAAGACAAAAACATTGGAAAGGTAAAGGTAATCATGAAAGGACATAAAAGGATACATCATCTCCATCACCAAAGGTCATCCAAAAAGTCTTCCCATGTCCTTTTCACCAGCTGTTGAGGGCAAAAACCAACGGTTCCTTAAGCTAAGATTTTCTCCTTGACAATGGCTGAACTATTAAGCACTTATCCAAAAAGCCGAACCGGGTCAGGTCAATGCTGCTGGAATGCTGCAATATCATAGTGCAGTATTTGTAAGTCAAAGATGTCATCTACTCCCAAATTGTTGTAAAAACAAGTCCATCACCACATTTAGCTCCAAACATAATAAATGGAAAATAAGGAAGTAAAAATGACTCAAGGTTGGGATAAACTAGAAAAATCTACCTATTAAACAAAGGAAATGGGTACTTTAAGCATGTAATAAACCATGCTTATCATATATATATATATATATATATATATATATATACTAGGTTTGATCCCTTGTATTACATGGGGTAATTTGAAAAAAATTAAATCATGTCAGGAACTTATCTTACAGATATGAATGATCATCAAAAGTACGATGCTACTTTAGACTTGTACTCTTGTAATAACTCTGAAGTATAACTCTTCATAATTGAATTTAGAAATGAAACTATATCAATAATTAGTTGAAACTGAAATGAAGTTAACCCTATAATTAAATTAAATTTAAAAATGAAACTATATCAGTAGATTAAACTTAAACTTAGAAGTAAATTTAGAATAACTCTTTAGACTTGTACTCTTGAAATAACTCTGAAGAATGACTTCAGACTTGTACTTTTGAAATAACTCTGAAGTAAAAAAAAAAACTCTTCAGACTTCAGACTCTGTATAGGCAAGCCAGAAGCTCTACATGCACTATGCAAAGGATCTGCATGGTGCTCCATCTGGAAAAGAAGATTTCAGAATCCGGGTGAGCTAACTCTGAAGAATGGCTCTTCAGACTTGTAATTTGAAAATAACTCTGAAATAAAACTCTGAAGAATGACTCTTCAGACTTATACTCTTGAAATATCTCTGAAGTATAAAATCAATCATACTAAATCAGAATTCAGACTTTTAAGTCTGAAAAAGAAGACTTCCGAGTTCAGACTTTAGAGTTTGGGGGAGCTAAGTCTGTTTAAGTCTGGAAAAACAGACTTCAGAGTTCGGGTGAGCTAACTCTTTAGAATGACTCTTCATACTTGTATTCTTGAAATAACTCTAAAATATAATTCTGAAGAATGACTTCAGACTTGTACTCTGAGATATAACCTTAGAATAAAATTTAATTTGGAAATGAAACTATATTAGTAAATTGAATTTAAACTTAGAAGAGTGTCTGTGTCAAATTTGAAGACGAAATCTGAAGACTTTGAGTTCATAATTATTCAAATGCCCAATATCTTTGAAAAAGATCTCATGGTAAAGTTTGCATCATACAGAGCAAGACCAACAAGAGCTCCTCTGACATCCAGAAGCCAGACCAACCAGAGGGGCAATGGCTTACAAGACTAAGTCTAAGTCTTAAAGACTTATCTTCAAAGTCTAGATAAGTTTATTACAAGACGTGTACTCTTGAAATTATTCTGAAGTAAAACTCTTCAGACTTCAGAGCTCTGTATAGGCAAGCTAAAAGATCTGCATGCATTATGCAGAGGCTCTGCATGGTGTCCGTTTGGAAAAGAAACTATAGAGTTCGGGTGAGCTAACTCTGAAGAATGACTCTTCAGACTTGTACAATGGAAATAACTCTGAAATAAAACTTTGAAGAATGACTCTTCAGACTTGTACTCTTAAAATAATTCTAAAGTGTAAAACCAATCCCATTAAATCAGAGTTCAGACTTCTAAGTCTGAAAGAAAAGAGTTCAGAGTTCAGACTTCAGAGTTCGGGTGAGCTAAGTCTGAAAAAGAAGACTTTAGAATTCGGGTGAGCTAACTCTGAAGTGACTTTTCAAACTTGTACTCTTCAGAATCATAGAAGACTTCAGAGTTCAGACTTCTAAATCTGAAAAAGAAGATTTCAGAGTTCAGACTCCAGAGTTCGGGTGAGCTAACTCTGAAGAATGATTTCAGACTTGTTCTCTTGAAATAACTCTGAAGTAAAACTTTTCAGTAAATCGAATTTAGAATAAAATGAAGTTAACCCTAGAATAAAGTTGAATTTAGAAATGAAACTATAGCAGTAAGTTGAATTTAAACTTAGAAGCAAACACCATTTTTTTTCGAGAATCAGTTACCACACGAATTAATTAACCAAAGAATAAAATCAATTGCATCCTAAATTAGTAGGATTGATTGAATAAGATGACACATGTCAATCGAATGAATATAAATGAACTATTAATGTAAATTGTGTCTAGATACATTCAAATGAGTCTAATTGAACCATTAATGTAAATTGTGTCTAGATACATGTTTAGGCAGAAAAATAAGATAACCGACTCATCAGAAGATGACACGTGTCACCCAAGTTACTTATTTATTAGGTGTATAGATATGTGTGTGTAACATTTTGGAGTATTAATCTCATAAATTTGGGTTGTTCTTGGCTTACAGTTATAAGGATTTGATCGGAAATGATCATATTATTGAAAAGAAATGTATTAGTACTTGTGAAATAATGTCATCCTTGGGTTAATGAACTTTTGGAAAGATGATGGTATCTTAATACTTTGTTTTGGAAAATGGAAAATGGTATATTGGAAATTATGAGCTCTAGACCCTTTAGTGTCAACATTGTATTTAAATGACTTGATGGTAATATGAAATGTGATAGAAACTATATGTTTGCTAATATTGGGTCATTTTAAAGTTATGATACATATCAAATTGTATGCAATGGATCTATATGCATATGAGTCGAATTATTGGTTTTGAAAAGAGATAGTCTTTCTTTCATGGTAACTAGAAATAGGCATGGGGTCATCGCGGGCATTGTGGTGCGAGCTCATGGAGTCGAACATTTGCCATTCACCACATGGTGTAATTTATAGTGAACTAGCATATCTAGGATCATCGTGGGTCTTATGCCATGAATAGTGCAAGGTTGAACTAAAAAACCATCGATCCGTAGTGGGGCTTACGAACATGGATATGTGGCTTACTTTTGTGTTTTGAACTATCAATGGAAAAACTGGGTCTCCTCTGTCATCACAATATGAGTTTTGACTTTATAGTCTTTAAAATTAAATATGTGGAGCATTGGATTTGATCAAGTTTATATTCTCGCTTTATATTTATTACTACATTCATAAACTGTTTGATCTCACTAGACGTTAGTCTAACACTTTTTCTTAAATGACATGTATATCAAGTTTCTTAGGCAGCAAGGCCAATGATGTTTGAGCAATGGTCGAGGTACTCATTAGGTAGCATCTTTGAGTGCCTATGAAGTTGGTGGTACAAGTATAGAAGTGTTCTGATGGTTATAGTAACAGCCGCATGTAACCTATTTCTAGAATGATTTAGATTAGGAGGTTGTTACTTATTAGCTGTTTCTTCTCTGTTCTTGTTATATGGAGTTGCTTCCCTTTCTGGGAAGATACTATTAACATTTATGGTAAAATTTCAGGTTTTTGCAAGTTCAAATTTTCTCCTATTTTAAGGGTGTTACATTTTTGTAACAAAAATTTGAGTGATTTAGTGAAAGATTTTGACTTCAAAGTCATGGCTTAAGGTTTCGACTTTGAATCGACATACGAAATCTAAATTTCTCTTTGTTAAGCATCTAATTGTTGCTTCTTCTTGATTCGAGCTCAAGGCAACACGTCCTAAATTTGATTCAAACTAACCGAACCAAACCTAAGTTCGTGGTCTTAAATTGAATCACCGTTACTTGGTGGGAGTTTGAATAGTAAGCGTCGACAATGGAAGAGACCGTGAAAGGAAGGGGTTTCATCAGAGAAAAGGAAGGGGTGGGTTTTGCTAGAGCAACAAGAAGTAAAGTGTTTATCGGTTGAAATCCAAATGATATAAGTAGAGTTATATTTATACACAGTAGTATTAACTAATTATGTATAACATAAGAATCTTAATTTATATTTAATTTTTAAAAGAAAATGAAAGAAGGGATACAAATGTCCCTTTTGAAATCCGAACCAAATTTAGAAGATCCGGACCCGATGGGGGACCCGTAGGCCTGGTAGTGGACACATGAGTGTGCCACGTGGCAAAGCTGTTCGGTGACAGAGCTCACTGCCACTGCTGCTACACCACACCACTACCCATAATAAAACACCCAAAACGTCCTCTTTCCTTCGCATCCCCTTTCCCTTTTCCATTCTTTGATTCCGATCAGATATTCTTTGGATTCAATCTTTTCGATTTCTAGGGTTTCAGATTCTCTTTTTCTTCAACAGTTTTTCTACTCATCTCGTATCTGCATCTCAGATTCCGATCCTGTCTTCGATAAGCATGTTGCTAGATCTGGGTTTCTTTTGCAGTTCCTGGAGCAAATCACGCTGAAAAGTAAGATTTTCAGATTCACATCATTTGTCTTAGATTCAAGGGTTTACAATTCAATTTCTGGATTAATGTGTTATACACGTGATTCCATTTTAGTAAGATTCCTACTCTTTTTTGAGAATCTGTCTCAGTTTTCAGAGTATGGTCATCTCATTACTTCCCTTCTCTCCTTTCCAGTTTAAGCTAGTCTACACATGTTATATCATTGAATATTGTTAATTTTGGAAAAGAAGATTGATTGTGGCTATGGATTAAAATTATGATCTGTGTTTAGACATTGACATTATCTTTGTATGATGAATGCTATTCATATTTATAAGCTTGTATGTTTTGATTTGCGTTACTTCATTTGATTTGATTGCAGTTGAGTATACTGCGTACTTCAAGATTATCACTGCTGCTTGATCTCTAATTTTCTATTTTGGGCAAAATTGGGAAAGTTGTGTCATTTCCGGTTTTAGCTGATTAAAGCAAATCTGTTGTACACTTGAGGGTTGATCATATGATACACTTGAAATATTACCGGGTCTTTAAGGATGTAGGTTCTGATTTCAACCTTTCTAACTTCGATATCTTGAATGCTATTAATATTTCATGAATGATGTTTGCACATTACAAGTGTTTATAGCAAGTTCAGTGAGCAACTAGGAAACTGGTCTGGGAGTGACATTTTGTTTCAGAAATTCTATATACGCTAGGAAGTCGCTACAAGTTGGAAACAAGTTTCCAACACATTACTAAAAAAGGCGATTTTATTACTACGTGATCATTTGGAAGGTGATTATCATCTCTATTTCTAGAAAACACCATACATGTTAAAATAATTACATTATATGGGTTGTTGGAAACTTCTTGAACTTGTTGGTGCACACAAAGGCCCTCTTGTTGTCTGGAATATGATGGATTTGTGATGTTTCAAGTCCTTTTATTTGTTTTTAAGGTTAAAAGTTGGCTTATATGTACAAACCAGCTTGTGGGCTCTTAGATGGTATGCAGCAGTCATCTCAGGACAGTGATTCTGCAAGCTGGGAATATTCAGAAAGTTGCGGAAGGATTGGTGCAGTTTGCAAATTTCAAAAGCAGCCTGAAGACTCTTCCTGCAGCAACTTTTTCCTCTGTTAAAATATTTCCATCTATTAGGAAAATGATGGTGGATAATAGCGCATCGGCTAACCGTGGTCTGATTACTGACACTTCACCTGAGAAGGATAACTATGGTGGCTATGCAAGTGGAGGATGGAAGAGGTGAATGTCCTTTTGCTTATTTACTACTTTGCAGTTTATGCTTTATTTGTTTCTTTAATTGCAAGCAGATTGTAAAAATGTATCTTAAAGCAGATACCTTGTAGTTCTATATCTTACAGCAGATACCTTGTAGCATGGATATGTTAAGGTGAGATGTACTGTGTGCACAAAAAATGGTGGAAGGATTTTGGTTACCCGTTCTTTTTATTTCTCAATCAGGAGGGTTAATTTATGTTTCACAATTAACGGGCTTCATGGGTCTGGACTTGAGGCGTGTCAGTGTTTCTTCTAATGTACACATACCTCCAGTGTGCCGCACATGGTTATGGTTTTTTATCTGTAAATGTGGAGTTGTCAATGGGATAGGCCAAGCTAACGTTCTTTTTTGTAAACTTACTATTCTCTCTTTTTCAACACACTTGAATCGTGATTGAAAATGCATTTTCCATCTGCTGCCATCAGCCTCTCTGCATTTGAGTCCACGTATTCCTCCTGATGCATTGGTAAGAGTTAGTATTCAAGCTTTTGCATCTCTATAACAGTGGTGACCTGGTTTTTTATTTTAACTTCTTTCTTAAGTATTAATGTAGGCTTTGCAATAGAGGATCAGGGGATATTATTACATTAGTTGGTTGCATGAATTTTCAAAGTTAACATGATTGTTTTATCTGGCATGAAGGCTGAAGCATTGAACTCTTAGCATTATTTGTACTTGCTTTTGAGTTTAGAAGCTTTCCAATAAGAGGACCATTGATCAAGTGAAAGCAGATTGCTTGATATTATGGTGCAACATATATTCTTTTGCTTGAATACCTGCTGCAACTTGTTGCATATCAGCATATGCTAAAGAATTTGTGCTGGCAGCTTGGTGTTTTATCTGCTAGGGAAACGTTTTTAAATATATAGATGGTGAGAAATTGCTCAATATGTCTTGTAATTACGAGGGTTACAAGCTTAAGGGATGCATGAACCCTACATATTCGATACCCTAGTCTCGTATTTTTCACACAAGTAATACTATTGCTAACTTTGTGAAGTAACTATTTATTCTTCTTTCCAAGTAAAGCAACATAGAGTTTCCTTGCGCCAAGTGTAAATATTTTTGCCCAACATGTGACTACCATGTTTTAAAGCTGGCTAGCTTATATTATAATTCATGTTTTTGTTATGTTTGTTAACCCATAAAATGGATGTTAAGTAAATGCATCAATACCATTGAAGTGCAAGCACACCCTATATTTTCACCTATCTAACCTTTTTTCCCGGTTGGATTGCACTCACACCTCATTCATTGTTTTTCACAAAATATCTTTCTGATTTTCCTTTTTTCTGCAAGAATACATCAAATGTCTGTTAAGTAAATACATCAATACCATTAAAGTTTAAGCACACCCTATATTTTTACTTATCTATCCTTTTTTCCAGTTGCTATGCTCTCACACTTCATTTATAAACGACTATAATTTTTCACAAAAATGTCTTTCTGACATTCCTTTCTTCTGCAAAAATTCATTTGAAAGTCGTTTTCTTTTTGCACGAGGAGGGGTAATAGCAATGTAAAGAAAGTGATTCTAATAATTGAGTAGGGAAATCTATTTATCAAAATAATATTTTTTTAGAAACACAAGTAATACAACTACTTATCCATTTATGAAAGCACCTTTCCTTTCCTGGACAGTTCCATAATATGTCAACTTCAAGAACATCTCTACTCAGATTGATGGTTTTACAAATATATTATCCCTTCAAAATGCTTGTGTAAGTATATCCTCAAACTTCAAAACGTCTCAACAAGTGTTGTCATCATAGTTTTATTACACTAATGAATATGTATTATTTGCTAAAGCACCACCCATCGAACGTAAATTTACTTGCTTTAAGCTGGTTTCTCATGCTTTTTCTATTACATAATTGATTTCTTCTCCTAGCATATCTGTTCACATTGTTTTGGTTTTCTTACAAACTAATGGAAGATTCTTTCTGCCGGCTAGATTAAGTGGTATACTAGTAATATGGGAAAGGTGGTTCTTTTTCTGATCAGCTGACCTAACATCATATATGTCTAGTGGCCATGGAATATGATGAAGTGTCACAATTGTGAAGGTAGAATAACTGAGGTCTTACAAAAGTTACTTGTGATTGGTTAACAAGAAAGTGGAAAGAATGTTAGATATCTAACAAATGGAAACAGTGCTTATTAAATAATTTTGCTACTCCAACATTTGTATTCTTTTGGCTTTGTGGGTGTTTGATTAACTTGCGATTGCACCTTTTTGCTTACATGTCTTCATTATGGCTTCGTATTGACAGTGAAGATGGAAAATTGAGCTGTGGTTATTCAAGTTTCAGAGGTAAAAGAGTTAGCATGGAGGATTTCTATGATGTCAAGACTTGCAAGATCAATGGGCAGACGGTCTGCCTATTTGGGATATTTGATGGTTATATTCTTTCTCAGCAATTTTTACGATAAAATTCTTCTTTTGGAGAAACACTTTTATCATTTATTTACGATGTAGAGGTGGCTAATGCTTGAAGATATATATGTTGACTGAGTAATCCTTTTTGAACCAGGTTACATAAGGGTTTGTACTTTAGGTAGGGTCAATCGTGGCCTTGCTGAATTAGTTTGGGATTAAATAAAGATCTAACTGGCTGCCTTGTTAGAACTATGTACCTCATCTTGCTAGGATTGAGTTTTTTTTCCCTTTCTTTTGGCTTCCGGTGGAGCTTCTTGTGTACAAAAACCTACAAACTTTCCCTTTCTTTCTCTTGATTGTTTTGGCTGAATGAGTTTGGGATTAAATAAAGACCATGCTGGCTGCCTTGACAAACAAAGTACCTCATCTTGCCTGGTTTGAGGTTCTGTTTTTCGAGCTTCTAGTTAACTTCTTGGTGTACAGAATGCTATAATCTTTGCCTTTCTTTATCTTTAATTGTTTTAAATTTGTTTCTTTGGAAAATGAAAAAAAGTTGCTCTATACCAAAAGCCTTGAAGCTGCCATTCCTAACCAATAATTGACAAATAGGATTTGTTGTTTTTCGCTGAAGTACTTATTTTATCAATTATTTCCCCCATAAGCAATGAAACATAGGGAGAGGCTAGTAATTGATGAGGGAAGTAAGAGAACTTTTGGCTGATTTTTCATCTCAAGAAAGTGCATCTTTGGGATCATCTGCCTTAATCTTTTGCAACATAAGTATGTACGTTTTTCCAGCTTAAATATAATGCTAATTCCCTATTTCCATGAATCAATAGTTTAAAATACACAAGTAATCTGTATCACAGTAAAGGTAATAACATTCAAAATGACACTTGTACTAATAAATATAGCAACAAAATAAATCCGCACGACAAGTATGACGAGGACAAAAAATGTGCATCCACCACTCATCGTTACTCTTTCCATAATTCTACTGCTTTCTTTACATTTGTCCTTGTGCAAGTGATTGTATGACAAGGATAAAAATTGTGCACGTGCACCCACAACTCATCATTATTCGTTCCATAATTTCACTGCTTTCTTTACATTTGTCGTGCACGCTCATTGTACGTGTGCACTAAGGCCAGCATGCATGTGTTGTGCACACACATAAGGATGCCCACGTGAAATCCACGTAGGGGATAACGTTTGTGGCAAGTCTATTTCTACAAACAACTGATAGAACCCATGTAGGGCCCCTTAGTTGGTACAAGGGGATTGTACATGAGATATGGCTTCTACGGTCGATATTCATTGTGTGGGATTCGACAACCCCCATTTTTCAACCCACACCCTATGCAATCCACTAGCCACTAAATCACCGTCTTGGCCTTGATTTGAATGATATAATTTCTTTTTGAATAGTGATCTGATTTTAGTTGAATTCAACTGGACCAAGGTTAGTTTAGACTTCAAATGCTTTGTCTAGGATGCACCTTTATTGTTCAATCAGGAGCTATCACTGAGGTATGGATTTGAATGTAAGGTTTCCGTTCTCATAGTGGCAACATCTAGGAAATATTCCGCCATAGTTAGGGCAGTCAAACTAACTCTCGTACGAGTTCTTGGTGGTTCATTCATCTGACCATAAACTAGAGCCACTTTTGATTATGCAATATTTTGTTCATGGATCACTTTAGATTCTTTCATTTCCATGTAAAGATCATTTCCTTCACGGGTCCGTTCACCGATTCCGCCAAATACAGATACGCCTTCGTCAGCTTTGGCAATATTGTTAATCAATTCCACAATGAGTACTATTTCATTTTAAATTGATCACCAGTCATTGATGAAGGAATCAGTTATTACGTAAAATTGGAGAATTGCATCGTGAAACAAACTTGGGATGTCGCAATGCTCTTTATTATAGTCTCAGATGAAGAAACTTGCTGTCATTGCTTTTCATGATAGAATATTCATTGGCTTTAAGTTTGTTTCCTGAGGGTTGGTTTTTTTAGAGGTGGCAACTAATAACCAAGGATGATCTTTAGTTATAGAAGCTTAGTTGTATTCATATGCAAGATAGTATATTTGCATATAAGAAGTCAGTATTAGTATAATAATTAGGTGCATTATATAATAGAGGCTTTATGTTGTTTACACTTTCCACACATTATATTTCTGATGGAAACAGACTCTCCACCCTCTGGGCTAGAGGCAAGATCTGCATCCTACCCAGACCCTATCTCGATGTGGGATATACCGAGTTCGTTTGGTTTCTACACATTATGTTTCTGATCTGTTAGTTTACTCAAATGATACACTAGTTTTCTCTTCTATTTCTTACTTGAAGATCGGTAGTTTTGTGTAGGTCATGGTGGTTCACGTGCAGCTGAGTATTTGAAGGAAAATCTTTTCAAGAACCTCATGAATCATCCGAAATTTTTGACAAACACCAGAGTGGCAATAAGTAAGTTCCTATGACAACTTACCACTTCTTTTTCCTGTGGCAGATGCTGAGTGCTACCATATATAACAATGAGAAATAAAGATTTCAGGTCTTTTCTTTGGCTTCTTTTTATGTAAACATGAACAGACCCATAAACTCGAATGAATTCACAGGTGAAACCTATCAACAGACCGACTCAGACTTCTTGGAGTCTGGAAAGGATACCTTCCGTGATGATGGTTCTACTGCTTCAACAGCTGTTTTGGTAGGTAATCATCTGTATGTTGCTAATGTTGGAGATTCTCGGACTGTCTTGTCGAAGGCAGGCAAAGGTAATTTTCAAATTGTCTATTGCTGTCCTTTCTAAAAGCCTGAAAATGTGTAAAGTTATTCAAGATATGACATCTACATTCTTGACATGACTGGTTTATCAATTCAAGGAAGCTGCTATATGTGTTGTAGAATTTAGAATGAACAAGGTGATAGCAGAAATTAAGTTGTATGTTCTTACCAACATATTTTATGAGCCAATTGCTGTCAAGATATTCTCAAGGGGAGAGCTCTGCAGCAAATTGTAATAATTACTCCATTTTGAGAGAAAGGTTACATATTTGAGTCATATGAATGGTCTCTTTACACCATGCAAAGCAAAGATGCATACAAACACTTCCCTCTTTAACCCTCACAAAGCTGAGTAGTCATGGTGCACTATGTCACCCTTGTTCAAACATTGGACATAAAATCACTATTAACATAAGATAATGTTACCCCCCTTGAAGTTCAGCATCGTCCGAACAAGATTATAAAATCTATGTAGTAACTTGATTGTTGTTGAATATGTAAGGACTTTAGGCTTATTTTATGTGTGTGTGTGTGTCCCTACTTTATCTTATTCTACATGATGTGCGTTGCTAATCTTTTTCCCCTCATATCTTCCCCAGTTATCAATTACTCCTTTTTAGTAGTCTTCCCTTCCCAGGGCTAAAAAAGCTTTCATTTGAAAGAGGTTATTTTTCCAAATCTTTTTCAATATTCATGCCAATTGCATACATGACAAGTGGCCTTGTTAGATAAAATTGGACGATGACGAGGTCCGGATAACGGGATAAATGGCTTTGTCTGGAATTGATACTGATTGAAAATTTGCTGTGTGATAAAACATACTGAATGGATAGCAGGATGACAAAATTACTATTTTAACCATCTGAAGCATTTTTAACAAGACTATTTGATAAAACTGAATAATGGAGCCCAAAAGGATAGAAAAGGAATAAAACAAATAAAAACCACTAGTCAATTAACAGCATATTATGAAACTGTAGCAATTAATAATTATCAAATCTTACCATTATAATAAAAAGGAGCATGCTAATTGTTATGCTTATAATAAGCAGTAAGTACGGAATAGGAATAAGGAGTATGTTCATATGGCTATAATAAAAAAGGGTCACAAGAAATTGAAAAGACAGCCCTTGTGTTGTCATTTGATTGCAACATGCAGATGGGGAGGGGTGTACCTGGAAGAAGTGAGGGTGCAGTGGTGGGGCGGGAGTTGTGAGTTGGGGGGGGGGTGGTTGGTGCAGTGGGGCTCTAGGGAACGTGGTGGGTGAAACGAGTGCTCTAAATTCTATTCACTGTCATCCTTTCCTCTAGCCAATTCAGACATATCTAGACCATTCAGAGTTGATTTTTTAATAAACATCTATGTCATCAACTTGTTCAAAGTCTCAACCCATTCAGTGGTAAACCAACATGGCGTTGGTATGGAGCCAACGAGTATTATATGATTGCACGTGAAGGATTCTGTCTTATTTTTCTTGGAGTATTACTTGTTGATCTGTTTGATACGTCATATGCATGCATGCTTAGTCCTTAAATTGCTTATTTTCTGTTGGCTGAAATTGTAGAAATGAGTGCTCATTTAGGTTATGTATTTCCTGGTCTCATGTTCATTACTAATAAACCATACAATTGCCATTGTGATCGAGTGTTGCTATTCCACTTAATTAATTTAAGTATATTCATATCATTCAATTGACAGCTATCCCTCTTTCTGACGATCACAAACCAAATAGAAGCGATGAGAGGAAGAGAATTGAAAGTGCTGGTGGCGTTGTGATGTGGGCAGGTAAGATGGTAATGCTGTTGATTTCCTCCTAAAGTGACATCCTATGTTTCATGCAAACTTGTTCTAGAGCTGCAAGAACAAGGATTTGATCTCACTTGGTTTTGATCATGGACAAATGGGATTTTTAGATTTACATCTTTTCATAGGTATAGATTGAACTGTTTAGCTTGTCCTCTTTGGGCCTTTATGTTTTGGGTCCTCACATATGGCTCAATGGTTGGATCTTTCTTCTTTTCTCCATCCAATACGGATTGCTTTAATCTGTTGTTCTTTGCCTTGTTCTCTGCACTGGAGAAAACTGGGGAGAACTAAAGAATGGAAGTCATTAGCATGAATGTGGAGATACCAGTTTCCACGGGCGAGATCCTGTCAATAATTGCTAAATTTTCTAAAGAGATCCTATAATGAAGTTTATGCACGGTCTAACATTTTTTTGTCAACACTGACCACTAATTCATGGACTTCAAATATTCACTTTCATGTTGTTTCCAGGCACTTGGAGGGTTGGAGGTGTTTTAGCAATGTCTCGTGCTTTTGGAAACCGTATGCTGAAGCAATTTGTTGTGGCAGAACCTGAAATTCAGGTAATCATTGAAGCTTTTTTTTGTCCTTTGTTTTAATCTACTTCAACATGAATGTAATTAGTGACCTGATTGTGGTTCTCACTTGAATATGTGCTTTGTACATGTGTTCAATAGGATCAGGCCATAGTTATTGGCCTTGCAATTAGTGTTGGCGATTATATATTGTTAGAAATTTCCTAGGCTTTAGGTGATGGTATAAATATGCTTCTTTATTGCTGTTACATATTTGGGCATCAGCCACATGATGTATTTTGTGCGTGTTTTTATATCTAGCCGGAAGAAACATGCTTCCTCCCGTGCAAATCGCAACAGTTAGATTTTTAGGTTATTCCATTAATTTCAACACTTACTTTTTAGGGAAGTTTTCATGTTAAAATTACTTATTTGGCCATTATAATTGTTATAAATAAATTGATGATATTGACTATTGATTTGTATTCACAAGATTTCTCTAATTTGGTTTAATTGATGCGCTCTTTAGATATTTGACAAATAGTAAAACAATTTCCTTAAACTGCGTTCGATCTTCCCATTCTTCAATCCATATAATCATGTGGTTTGATGGAAAAGATCATTAAAGAAAAGTGGTACAAAAAGAGCAAATACTTTTTTCTTTTCAATTTGGTGATTTGCCAAGTGTTAGAATCAACTACCGACGTGTAATTGATTTGTCAAATCCATGTTTGGGTGCAACTTGATTTTTGTGTGTGTGTTGGGGGGGGGGGGTACAATGGGACTTTTTCCAAATTGTTGATCATGTGTCATGGTAAACAAAATTTAAGAGAAAAATCCAGACATTACAAGTTCAGAAATGAAGGCCAAAACTTGGAAGTAAACTAATCTTATGCTTGCAAGAGAAAAGAAAGTGAGACGAGATCTCTCAATAAGACTTGAAAATAAAGTCTTTGCTTATGTACGTACATACACACAGCATACAAACACGCACATGTATGTATGTATGTATGTATGCATGTATGTATGTATGTATGTATGTATGTATGTATGAATATACATGCATAGTTAAGGGTGTGCATTGGGCTGGAACCAGACCAAAAAATAAAAAATAAGCCGAACTGATCTATACTGGTTTGTTTGGATTTGAAAACTAAAAAGTTTGGGTTTGTTTTGATTTGAAAAATATAAACCTGAAAGGTCGTCGTTTTAAGTTTGAAATAAAAAACTCGCTCAGTTTCGGTTTCCAAGACCAGACTTAACCGATCCAAGAACCAAATTTTGGAAAAAATCTTGAACTGAAAACTGGTTTTAAAAAAATTCTAGAAATGAGAACTGAACGGAACGGAACATGAACTGGCTTGGTCCCATCCTGGTTCTGTTTTTCTGTTTTGTCTGTCAGGAGTTTTGTACACCCTACTACACACACACACACACACACATATATATATATATATATATAAAATATGATCACACACATAGATGCATATGCTGATATTCATATACATACATATACATATATAGACATGCACATACCACTAGACATACATAATTGGTACCAAAACCAACAATTAATCTTTCTTGGGGAGAGCTCACTTTCACAGGGTTAGTATTTTTTTACTTAACTAATTTGGCCCAAAATTGGATTTGTTTGAAAACATTACAAGCTTTGGCACCTAGTTTTGTTTGTGAGGATGTTAAGTTAGCCTGAATCTCGTGTGAAAGGACTTGAGTAGAAGAAGACAAAAGGATAGTAAACCAAAGAGACTTGAAAGGGTAGAGCCAATTTATTTAATGCTTTATTGGATTGTTTATTAGACACATACGAATAAGGGCCCTTCATATGACACTTTCCTCTTTCAGTGGATTCTAGATGCAAGGACATTCCAATTACAAGAAGTTTCTAGGCTCTACTAGAGACTGTATAGAGTACCTGTATGCATCAAAAGATCTTGAGTTTCAAATACTTCATTATGTGAGCAACCTAGAATGCTCCAAACTATACTACAAGTTACTAAGACTTGTAAAAATCTATGGAGATCCTTTTCGCAAATCCATGCTTTGCCCATCCAGCATGCGACATCTACAGGGACCTTGGGTGAACTAGGTGAACCATGGCATTCTTCCCTTCCAATTTCACCATGTGTTCCTTGTGTGTGGTTTCGTGTGAATAGTTCTTCTCCATGGCCTGAAGGGAATTAATGCCTTTTCTACAATGCCAAGTATGTTTCTTGCATCGATTTTATCGACTTGAGAGCACCTTCCATGTCAGAGATTTTTTGAACCTACCACTTTGCTTCCTCCATGAAGAAGTTGCAAGTTTCCTCTGTGTCCATTAAAGCCTTTACCTAGTGGGGTTGACCTGGTCTTCTATGAATGTGGAACACATCAGTTTGAACATCTCATATTCTAATTGATAGTTGTAGTTATGCTTGTCTTGTTCCAACACTCTATTTAGTTGTTTCATGGGCATTACAAATTCCAATCAGGAGGTTAATTTGTAGGCATTTTCTCCCAAAAGGCCTATCAATTTATTTATGAAGGTTTATTCTGATCTTTCATTTTCCAGGAACAAGAACTTGATGAAGAATTTGAATTGCTTGTTCTTGCAAGTGATGGTCTTTGGGATGTTGTACCAAACGAGGTATATAATCTAAGAACATATCTTGTTTTTGATTCACCAAAACCCCTTTCAATATGATATATAATTGGATTTGGTTTCCTTGAGCAGGATGCTGTTTCACTGGCACTGTTGGAAGAGGAACCTGAGTCGGCTGCGAGGAAGTTGATAGAGACTGCTTTTAGCCGTGGAAGTGCTGATAATATCACCTGCATTGTAGTGAGGCTTTACCATCATGAATCTTCAGCAGCAACTGCACCTGAATTCAAACCACAACCACCCAAAAGCCAATCCGAAACTGAAACCCAAATCCAACCAGAAAATGAACTCGAAACCGAGACTGAAATTGAAAGTGAAAGTGAAAGCAGAAGCGAAGAAACGAAGACGGATGAATGATTGGTTAATTTTGTTGGTGTTGTGTTGTATGAACTAGGGTCTGAAACGGTGAATATGGGTGTTTTTAGCTGTTGTTGATAGGTGTGTTGTGGTATCTATAGCAATGAACGGAGAACGACTTGGGGTGTTCAAATGCTTGTTCTACCATCTGCTGCTGGATGTGTAAATTCTATGTTTCGTTTTGATTAAATCTTACAGTTTATAATAATGACACCATTTCCGTTTTCGTTGATGAATGTTGGCAGGTGTTTGCTGTTGTTGTATGTTACTAGTAGTGGTTCCATACATCTATATCTATGCACCAAAATCACCTCAACTTTCATTGGCATCAATCTACCCTAAGACTGTTTTACATATCAACTTCTTTTTCTTTCCTAAAATATAAGTTTTCTTGAAGGTGCTTAAGTGCATAATTTGTTTCCCCTACTTGTTCACCTGTGTCGGTTTAGGGTACGGTCAGTTCACCTGGACATGTGATCCGCTATCTGGAAAAGAATTGCAATAGCTGGTATCCTGAGCAATTGCAATAATCGGATTCATTGAAGACTAATATAGAGGCTTATCCCGCTATAAGGAAAGGATCAAACCTTATTCCATGGTATTTACATGAGGTTTTTCTGAGAAGACGTTTTTGCTCTTCTTTTTGGTAAGGCTTTCGATAGACTTCTTTCATTTTCGAATTTGCTTGTGACAAGTCCTAGCATTAGTATGAAGGACCCCTTGTACAAACAATGATTATTTACAACATTTTTTTAACTCCTCTAAAATTAAAATAAAAAAATCTCCAAAAATATTTACATTAACTTCAAAAGATTCTTTTAGATTACAAAATTAATTATATTATTAAAATATTAATTCTTTTTCTTACACATTAATATAGTTTCAAATGCTTTTATTGATGGAAAAAAAATGAAATATCATTTATCACTTTTAAGTAATTATTTTAAGGATTTCTTCATATTTGGAAAGCTTTTACATTCTGTCTTTTTTCATTTTGAAAATTTGAATGGAGCAAAAACATCTATAACATCTCCATTTTTTAATTTAAAAAACGTTCTAAAACATTTGTTGGATGATTTAAAATTTAAATAGAGGATAAAAAAGTATTTATTTAGATTATCTATACTATATTATAAAACATTTGACAAATTTTTTTAAAAACTATCTTTTATGTATGAAGTACTGTTTATTGATGCACATTACTTAAAATTCAAGATTACAAGTAAATTGTGCGTAAGTACAACTTAATAAGCTTCATGTTTTAGATAAATATAAAATTTATTTTAAATATAAAATCTAAAATATAATTAGGATAACCATTGAGTTCTAATAATACTTAGTTATTATCTTTATATAAATTATATTATTAAAACAAAAATAAATTACTTCGTCATTAAACCTAAATTCAATTATAATAAAAAAAATTAAATTAAAGAAATTATATAAAAAATGAAAACTTTTATATTTTTAAATTTTTTTATGATATCTTCAAATTTACATTTTACTAAGAAAAACAATATTGTTTGTTCAAAACCACATAAATTCGTATTATAACATTGATAGAGATCAAAAAAATAAAATGAAACATTGAAATCGAGATATATCTCGTTGCATTACGCGAGTACCCTTCTAGTATTATATAATCACACACATCCACATGAATATATATATATATATATATATATATATATATAAATTTCGTCAATCATTTTTATTAAAACGAAAATCTTTATATAATCAAACATAAAAATGTTGAAGGACTAATAAAAAATAAATAAAATATCATCCAAATTTTCATTTAGACTTAAAAATTTCACATGGATAATTTATTTTAAGACATTTAACTTCAAAATGAAAAAAAAAAGGTATCACAATTTTTTATGGTATTTAAGAGGGTAGTATTGTAATTTGAATACTTTATTTTTGGAATAAAAATTGTAACCCAACCATGGTAAAAAGTTAACCCTGGTTAAGCTAATCGTGTTAGGGTTCACTCGGAAAGTTGGGAAAAAAAAAAAAACTAGATCGAACCCATCGCCTTAGGCCTCTTTATATATTATTTGTAGTAATTTTAAAAAAGATATTATTTTTGTAGCATATTGAGGGTTGATTGTTCTTGGAGTCATTTCTCTGAGGGGTTTTGACCAAAGTTTCGCCTTCGGTCTTTTCCTCTCCCCCTTTACAATTTGGTGGGAAAATCGCAAAGGTCAAACAATTATCAAATCAAATCAATTTCCTTCGTATATCAACTGGTAATCTACTCTCCATCCTTCTCTTTTTTTGTGTTTCTTTCAAATTTCACTTGCATTTCACGAATCTTGAATCTAGGGTTTCATTTTCAATTGCTCTGTTTTGGGATTTTACTGTTGATTTGCTTCAATTTCCACTTCATTCTCGTAATTAGCTCAAGTCTTTCAGATTCTTGTTCAGTTTTTTTTATTTGAATCTCATTGTGATGCCGATGTTATTGTTTGTTCTATTTTGTTAATTTTGGATTTTGGGTGTGACGTAGTTGTTTGTGCGACCAGCTTTGGAGTTAGTCACAGTCCATGATGTTTGTGCGGTCTCTCTCTCTCTCTTTCTCTCTCTCTCTCTCTTTTTATTTTACTTTTGTCAAAGTTTTGATTCTGAATTGCTAAGGAGGGTCGATGCCCTAAATCGAAATCCTCTCTTTGTGATCATTCATTTGCCTGTACACCTGATGTTTGACTGCACCGATTCAATGACTGCACCAGGTAATGAGGTGCATATAGCAACGCAAGTGGGGTTGGTATAGGCTTTAGATTTGAGTGATTCCAAACGTCAATAGTATTTTAATTTTGGTAATGTTTAGCGATTAATGATCTGGAGCTGGGAAAGGGCTCATGTTTTTCAATTTTGGGGAATGCACTTAGGGTTTTGCACTTGCAAATCGCCTTTTTTGATAACTGTAGGCTTAAACAGATGAGATAGAAGATTATGTCGAAGGACAGATGGCTCGGTGTAGTTTTAAGCAATGATGTATTTTATGTACGATGAAATGATAAAAGCATTTTTTTGAACTGGATACAACATTTGATGTTAGTATGAAATGAATTCCTTGGGGTACCATAATCATATTATCCCATAAATTGATATTTATGTCTTGTGTTTATGTGTGAATAGTTGTAGATTGTTGTAAGTCAATGAAGTTAGTGGTCACATTATTAAGGTGTAACTAGAGTAATTTATTTGGAATACGGATGTTTCAAAGAGCTACAATGGAACTACTTGTGGCATAATTTGAACTTTGCATACCTAACAGAAGAGATACTCATGCCATCTTAATATGTTCTAGAAAAAGAAAATAATTTACAAAAATACAGGATGACATGATTTCTTTGATTAATGAAGTCTATTCCACAGTCGGCATTATGATGCCACTAGTAATATCGCGCCATAAGTCCTTTTTTACAACACGTCCTGGTCTTTCTTGGATATTATGGTACTTTAGTATCATGCCCCTGTAAGGTTTTCAGGGAGAAGTTCTTGATATTAGAATAGGATTTATATTTGCATGACTCCTTGTGTCCAATTATATAAAATTTCAGTAACGTTGAGTTATTGATGATCTGGAGTTGGGCAAGGGCTTATGCACTTAGAATTTTATACTTAGGCTTTTTTTTCCAAGTATACGTTTAAATGGGATGAGAGATTGTGTGATGGAGAAATGGTTCATTGTAGTAGCAGTTATGTAGTTTACTAGTTTATATTTGATAAAATGACACACATTTTTAGAACTGGATACAGGTATACAGCATTTGTTATTAGTATAAAAATGAATTCCTTGGATACCAAAATCATCTTATTCTCTAAATTGATATGCATGTCTTGTGTTTGTGTGTGAATAGGGATAGTGTATTGTAGCTTAATGAAGTTAGTGGTTACATGATTAAGGTGTAGTTAGAGTAATGTCCTTGGAATACTGATGTTTCAAAGAGTTGTGATGGAACTGCTTGTCGCATAATTTGAATTTCAGATACATAATAGAAGAGATGCTCATTCCATCTTAATATGTTTTAAAAAAAGAAATCATTTACAATAAAATACAAGGTGACATGATTTCTTCCATCAACCAGGTCAATTCCATAGTTGGCATTAGGATGCCTGTAGTTAATTCGTGCATAAGTTTTTATTTTTTGGGCACGTCTTGTGTTTCTTGGATATTATGGTACTTTAGTGTCATGTCGTCTGCAATGTTATAGGAGAAGTTCTAGATATTCATATTAGAATAGGCTTTATACTTGGATGACTCCTTACGTCACAGTATTTCAAATTTTGGTATTATTGTGTGATTAATGATCCAGAGCAGGGCAAAAGGCTCCTGTTTATCCTTTTCTGGAGAAGACACTTTTTTTGCATTGGTTTAATTGATAACTATACGTTAACTGGGATGAGATTGAAGATTGTGTGATGGACAGATGGCTCATAGTAGTTCTGAGCAAGTTTGTAGTTTACTTAATTATAAAATGACAAACATTTTTAGAACCGGATACAACATTTAATGTTATTATAAATTGAATTTCTTGGATACCTGAATCTTCTTATCCCATAAATTGATATGTAAATCTTGTGTGTGCATGAATTGGGGTAGAGGATTATAAGTCAATGAAGTTTGTGATTGCATTATTAAGGTGTAGTTAGAGTAACGTATTTGGACTACAACTATTTCAAGGAGTTGAGGTGAAATTGCTTACTTGTGGTATAATTTGAGTTTTTTATGCATTGAGATACTCATTTGCCATCTTATCTTTAAATGTTCAAGACAAAGAAAGTCATTTACCATAAAATACAAGATGACATGAATTCTCCAATTAACCAAGTCCATTCTGCTGTCGGCATTATGTTGCAACTGGTAAATTCATGTCATAAGTCTTCATTATTGAGGCTCATGTCTTGTCTTTCTTGGATATTATGGTACTTTAATGTGATCTATCCTGTAAAGCTTTTTTGAGAAGTTCTAGATATTAGAATAAGCTTTATACTCGGAAGACTTCTTACGTCCCTGTATTCAAAGCTTTGGTAATTCTGCGTGATTAATGATGCGGAGCAGGGCAAGGGCTCAAGCTTTCTTTTCTTGGAGACGAGAGTTGTATCTTTTTGCATATTGGCTCGTTTGATAACTTTAAGTTTTAATGGGATGAGAGAAGATTGTGTGTGATGGACAGATGGCTTGTATTCTAAGCGATCATGTAGTTTATGCATGATAAATTGGCAAACGCATGTTTAGAAATGATTTTCTTGAATACCACAATCATCTTATCCCATAAAGTTCATATGCATATCTTGTGTTTGTGTGTGAATAGGGGTGGAGGATAAGTGAATAAAGTTCATGGTGACATTATTAAGGTGTAGTTAGGATAATGTATTTGGAATACAGATTTTAATAGAGTGTTCTGTTGAAACTGCTTACATGTGGCATAATTTGAATATACCATGCCTAATAGAAGAGATACTCATTTCATATTAATACGTTCTTGAAAAAGAAAAAAATTCATTATAAAGTACAAGATTACATGATTTCTTTGATCAACCAAGTCTATTCCACTGTGGCCATCATGATGCCACTAGTAAATTGTGTCATAACTCTTCATTCTCGAGACACATGTCTTGTTTTTTGGATGTTTTTCTTTTTTGGGAGAAGGCACTTTGGATTTTTTGCTTGTTGGATTTTTTTATAACTATACGTTCAAATCGGATGAGATCGAAGATTGGATGATGGATAGATGGCGGGATGACTCATTGTAGTTCTAAGCTAGTATGTAGTTTATGTATGATAAAATGACAAAAGCAGTTTTAGAACCGGATACAACAGTTGAAGTTAGTATAAAATGAATTCTTTGGATACCACAATCATTTTATCCCATAAATTGATATGTATATCTTGTGTTTGTTTAGAGAATAGGGGTAAAGGAGTTTTGGTCAATGAAGTTAATGATTGCATTATTAAGGTGTAGTTATTGTGACGTATTTGGAATAAAGATGTCTCAAAGTGTTGAGATGGAACTGTTTACTTGTGGCATAATTTGAACTCCGGCTAACAGAAGAGATACTCGTGTCATCTTTATATGCTCTAGAAAATGGAAATCCTGTACAATAAATACGATATATACATGATTTCTTCGATCAACCATGTTTATTCCACTATCGGCATTATGATACCACTAGTGAATTTGTGTCATAAGTCCTCATTTTTAGACATGTGTCTTGTCTTTCTTGAATATTATGGTACTTGAACGTCACGTCCCTGTAAGTTTTCAGTAGAAGTTGTAGATATTGGAAATTTGAACACAAGTCCTCAAGTTAATGACAGTTGAATTGAATGTGTAGTTCATAAATGAAAGGTGTATGGAAGAGAATACTTTGATTTAATATGTATTGATTTTGTCACCACCTCAGGTATTTTGACTGATTGCTACCGCTGTGAAGGAAATGCCCTCGACTTTTAGTCTTCAATACTCGTGCTAGCTCCTTTGGATTATTTACAGTAGTAGAGGATAAAGAGACAAGTGAACATTGAGGGTCGGCACTGAAACTCATGGAATGCAATAAAGATGAGGCTTTGAGGGCAAAGGTCATTGCTGAAAAGAAGTTAGCTGATAAAGACTTTGCTGGGGCAAAGAAATTTACATTGAAGGCCCAAACGCTATACCCTGGGCTCGATGGCATCTCACAGCTGTTGACGACTCTTGATGTATACATCTCTGCAGAGAACAAGATAAGTGGAGAAGTGGATTGGTATGGGATACTTGGTGTTAAACCTGCTGATGATGATGAAACAATCAGGAAAAGTTACAGGAAGTTGGCTCTCATGTTGCACCCTGATAAAAACAAATCAGTGGGTGCAGATGGTGCATTTAAACTTCTTTCAGAAGCATGGAGTTTGTTGTCTGATAAGGCTAAAAGATTAGCTTATAACCAAAGGCGGAGTATGAGAGGGTTCCATCTAAAAGTGCCATCATCTCAAACTGGTGGTCCATCAGCACCCCCTGCTGCCAATGGAGTTTACAATTTTGCAAAACGAGCAACTTCAAAGCCAAACATCCGGAGTAGTACCACAGCCACTAGGATGGGTCAAGGATCAGTTCCGCCTGTGGTCCGCCCTGCAGCTCCACCTCCAGTTGTTCATCAGCGGAATGATACTTTTTGGACTATCTGCCATCGATGCAAAATGCATTACGAGTATCTTAATCTGTATCTTAATCATACCCTTCTTTGTCCCAATTGTCATGAGCCCTTTCTGGCCAAGGAAATGCCGCCACCTGTCAACCTTCCCAAGTCAACTCAATCATCTGCTCGTCAGGATTCAAGCAATCATGCACCTAGTGGTAGATCCAATAGTAACCCTGGAAGAAGTACTGCAGCCACTCAAAAATCAAATGTCCATTGGGGTCCTTCCTCAAGAACAAATGTGCCCAGTAGCACAGACCCCTCCATTGCAACAAAAGCAGCAAGCGTTGTTCAGCAAGCTAACGACAGATTGAAAAGAGAACGTGAAGAATTCTATGCAGGGTGGCCCTCGAAAAAGAGAAAAGCAGATGATGATGCTCAGTCTTCTGGTGTTAAGATCCCGTTTCAGATGTCCACAGGAAACGGTGGAAATCTATCCAAGGGATCTGGCTTTTCTAATAAAGTAAATAGAAGTAGGGAGTTGACTCCATCTGAAACTCGGAACATGTTGATGCAGAAGGCTCAATCGGAGATCCGCAAGAAAATAATCGAATGGGATTCTGAGGAGAAGACGAAAGTAAATAAGGAAACTCAAAACGGCAACCAGTCTTCTGAAAAGAATAGTGTAGACCAACCCGCAGATGCGCAGGAACGTCAAGAATCTTCAATGAATGTTCCTGATCCTGATTTTCACGATTTTGACTTGGATCGTACTGAAAATTCTTTCGGAGATAACCAGGTGTGGGCGGCTTATGACGATGATGACGGAATGCCACGCTTCTATGCATTAGTTCATAAAGTGATCTCCAGGAATCCATTTAAGATGAAAATCAGTTGGCTAAACTCAAAAACCACCAGCGAGTTTGGGTCATTTGACTGGTTGGGTTGCGGTTTTCGCAAGACTTGTGGGGAATTCAGAGTCGGGAGGCACGAATTCAACAAGTCACTGAATTCATTTTCTCAGAAAGTCGAGTGGACAAAAGCAAAAGGGATCATTCATATTCTTCCAAGAAAAGGGCAAGTGTGGGCGGTTTACAGGAACTGGTCCCCTGATTGGAACGAAAACACTCCAGAAGACGTAATACACAAGTACGACATGGTAGAAGTGCTGGACGACTACAATGAAGAGAAAGGCGTGTCCGTTAGCCGTCTTGTGAAGCATGCAGGATTTAGGACGGTGTTTCATGGGCGCACGGATGAAAGTGAAGTGGAAGTGATTCCGAAAGAAGAAATGTTCCGATTCTCGCATCAAGTACCCAAGTACGTGCTGACGGGCGAAGAAGGTGATAATTGTCCGAAAGGTTGTTTGGAGCTGGATCCAGCAGCAACACCATTGGATCTAATTCAAGAAGCAGCAACAGAAGAAAGTAATGAGGAGGTTGAAAATGGTGAAGAAGGCAAGCAGCAGAAATAGTGAAAAGGTATGTGTTAGTAGTTTCATTATAATTTTTTGGGTCAGCAGAAATAGTTTGATTTTGTATGTGGATGGATCACATTTTGTTGAAAATTTATATGGGGGTGGATGACCAGAAAAAAATGGTGGTTTTTGTATTTTTGGTATAGAACAGGTGTTGCAACATTTCTATATGATTAATTCCTAAATCAGGCAGAGGACTAATTACCCCTGTTCTTTTTACAGTTAACCAACCAATCCCCCCCTTTTCAATTTGTTTGTTTGTTTTTTCTGATTGTTTACATGTTTTGCGTGGACTCCGTGCTCGATAGCCCGACCGTAGTGATGTCAATCGTGGTTACATCTTAGCCGTCTCACAGGTTCTCGTTAGCGACAAAAGATAGCTTCGAAAGTGGTAGGCTATTAGACTGAGTCGAACGCCTACCAACGCATAATGGTTCTGATTCAAGCGAGAGCCCACCTCTTGCGTCTGTAATAGTCGCAATGGTATTATTGAAGCTTGCTTGAACATGAGTAAGTCCTTTTGTGTTATTCTACATGCATTTTTGCGTGAACCAAGACGTCCTTTCGTACGTGAACCTGTTTATTTATTTTTTCTTTAAAAGAATCAATTAATGGGGGAGGAGTGAGATTTTTAGATACTCTTTTATTAAATATCAAATCTAATTTTATTTATTTATATGAATCATTATTAAATGTTTTGTTATTATTTTTTTAATGTCAAATCTGATTTAGTCAATTGATGTTATTTATTATCAATCACATCATTAATATTGAATATTTCATAAATAAATATTTTATTTATTATTTAAGTGCGTCATTATTTAGCTATTAATTATTTTTAGTAGTTATTAATAATATTAATTTCGTTATCGATTTTTCTATATCTCATTTTATATTTTTTGTAGTTGGAACTTATTTTAGGGTTAAATATATGATATAACAATCTATTTTCATAATTTTTTTATTATAGCATTCTACTTTCATTATTTCTTATTATAACAATATACTTTGAAATTATTTTTTTATTAAAACATCGTACTTCAAAATTTTTTATCCATTATAGCAACGAGTAACTTGTTATCTTTTAAACCGGTTAACCGCTTTACTTTTTTTGCTTGTTTGACTTCAATGAGGTGATGTGGATGACACATTATTTTGATGACATGTCTAAAAAAATATATTTTAAACCACAAGGGTGGTGCCTGATTGGTTTGAGTTTGGCTCCAAAGATCAAAAGTGTTAGGAGGTTCCAGGTTCAAATCCAAGGAGTAACAAAAATCCCCTAGTGACCACGGAGGTTCAAATGCGATGACTTCGGGCTACTTGCAAAGCAGGTGGTTGCCCTGAGATTAGTCGGCTCGCATAGCGAGTTGGATATCCAGGTTAATAAAAAAATCTATTTTAAAATAACATTTAGGTGGCGTTTGTTTTTTAAGAAGTTCTGAAGTCTGAAGTCTGATTTCATTTCTGAATTTTAAGAGGTGGTACTAAAGTCTGAAATCTGAATCAGTCAGACTGTTTGTTTTTACGTCTGAAATCTGAAATCTGAATCAGTCAAGTTTTGGATCTGATAGATTTGGATCGATCTGGGTCATGATTTTACAAGAATATGTGGATCGATCTGGGTCGTGATTGATTTGGAGATCGAATGTCTTGCGAGATAAATTTGGAGGACTAAATCTGGAGGTGAGGATGGAAGGGAGAGTCTGGAGGGAGCGATTAAGAGGATTTAAGTGATTATGTTATCACTTTTTTTTCCAGAGCAAATTAAGAGCTTTTCAGCTCTTATTTATATAAAAAAAAACAAACGGTCTGAAAATAAAAACGTCTGACCGGTTCAGACTTAAGAGGCATTAAGTGGTTTTTTTTATTAATATTTTAACTCTTTCTTATTAAATTTCATGCAAATTAAATATTATAGAGTAAAATATTTCTTAAATAAATATGATATATTATTTTCGAGATAATTGTTTTATTTGTAAAATTGTAACACTTCTTATTTTATTTTGTTWAAAAAAATACWTATHTTTTAAASTTYYYTTTAAGATGTTARCGAKATAAATTRTGATCTACAATTTTWTAATATTGTTATATTAATAAATAATTCAAAAAAATCTAATTAATTTAATATATTTGTACGTTAAGTAATTTGTTTCAAACAAGTATGATATATTCTTTAAAAGATAATATTTTTTTGGCAAAAAAATAACAATTCTTATTTTTGTAAATAATATATATTTTTTAAAAATATTAGCGAGATAAATTGTGTTTTGCTAGTTTTATTAATATTGGTACATTAATGAATGATTTAGAAATTTTCTAATTTATTAAATAATATGTAAAATATCTAAATAATAAAATATTAAAACTAAAAGTACAATATTGTAATAAGAGCATGTAGATGCTATAATAAAACAATTTTAAAAGTGCAATGTTGTGATAAGAAATGCCACATCAACTATAGTACATGTAAACAGCCTACGTCGACAATGAGGTGACATGAAAACTTGATATAATGGGTAAATTTAAATCCAAAGGTTACTCAATGAGATAACCCTGAGAATTTTCTTAAACTTAGACTTAAACTAGAGATGTTGAGTATGTGATAATAGGTTCCACTAAGATTTCAAACCTGAGAATGTGTTATGATTGGACCTATATGATGATAAGTATGATAGATTTAGATTACATGAGATTAATGTAATCTTGAGCTGGAAAGACCTGATTTAAGCATATTATCATACTTCGACAAGTGATTAATTGTAGATCTGTTTATTGTGGTAGTAAAGGATGTTAAAGTGTTGCAAGTATTAAGTAAGAATGACGGATAATCCTAATCGTTCTGGGAGAACTTCTACGGGACATGGAAGAGGCAGGGGAAGATGAGTTTTGAACACTGAAGAAAATCCAAAAATTGCTACAACCATAGAAACAAGAAGTCGAGGTCGATGAAGAGGAAGAGGTGATATCAAAATGTTTCTTGCATGCAAACCCCCTAAGTTTTTCGAAGAGCGTGATCCTGTTAAGGCCATGTGTTGGCTTAAGGAGATTGAATCAATTCTAAAGACTAGTAAAAGTGTGAAAGACGATAAAGTAATGTTCGCGGTATTAAGGTTGCGGTCAAGTGCACTATATTAGTGGGAAATCATGTCGAGCTCTGATCCGAACATTTTGAAGACAATGTTGTGGGAAGAATTTATAGTAAAATTTAAAATTCAGTATTGTCCTGAAGCTGCTGTTCGAAAGCTATAAGACGATTTTCTTCGATTAGAACAAGGTAACATGACAGTTCGTCAGTACACTGAAGTGTTCATGGAATAGTCTCGATTTGCTGAAGCCTATGTTGCTATTGAAAGCAGCAAAATAAGAAAATATATTTGGGGTTTGGAGTCTAATCTCTGAAGGTATGTAATTTCTAGGAACCCGGTTACATTTCAAGTGACAGTTGATGCTACAGAAATTTTGGAGCAGGATATCAACCGTCAACCACAAGAAAGAGTTGGGGAGAAAAGGAAAGGGTAGGCAATAACAACCGATTTTCGTAGACCTAAATTTCTTGGAAATATGAATCATCCAATGTCAAGGTTTGCTGATAAAACATGTGCCCAATGTCATAAAATACATCAAGGAGAATGCAACACCGAAACACGAACATGTTACAAATATCAAGAATCAAGACATATAGCCAAAGATTGCCAAATGGTACGGAGATATTTTACGTGTAATTCCTCCCAACATATTAATACTGACTGTTTGCAAGCTAAGGGACGGGGATCTGGTTCTGCTGGGGGATGGGGATCAGATTATTCTAGGGGCCGAGGACCTGGTTATGCTGGGAATATTCCACCCAACCGGGGCCAATGTTTAATCGCAATGTTCCTAGCGGTTGTGGGGAAGTAAGACGTGGAGAGGCAATGGGTAGGGGACGAGCCTTTCAGACGACGAGAGGCAATGCTGAAGAATATCCAGAAGTGGTGACAGGTACATTCTTTGTTAATCCAGTATGTGTCAAAGTCTTATTTGATTCTGGTGCAAATCGTTCTTTTGTGTCACCATCATTTGTTGGTTGCGCGTGCTTAAAACCTAAAGTATTAGATGAGGTTTTGATAGTAGAAACATCAAATGATAGTGAAATGTCGGTTAAGGAAGTTTTTGATGGTTGTTCCATATCAGTAGAAGGGTGTGAGGTATCCATCCAGTTTTTTCCTATACCGCTAAGAGAATTTGATATAATTGTGGGTATGGATTGGTTGGCTAAAAACCAAGCCAATATAATATGTAATAAGAAAATGATTCATATAGATTTACCAGGGAAGGGACCGGTTATAATCTATGGCGACAGACGAGATCGTTATTCCAGCCTTATATCCGTTTTAAAAGCTCAGAAGTATGTACAGAAGGGGTGTATCAGTTTTAAAGAAAGAAAAGAATAAGATGGAAGATATCGTTGTTGTAAGTGAATTTCTAGAAGTATTTCCGGAAGACCTATCGAGTTTACCTCCTGATCGATCAATAAAATTCCATTTGAATTGTTACCTGGAGCTACGCAGTTACTCATGCACCATATAGATTAGCTTAGTCGGAGTTGAATGAGTTAATGACACAGTTGAAAGAATTACTGGATAAAGGCTTTATCCGACCAAGTACATCTCCTTGGGTGCACCGGTATTATTTGTAAAGAAGAAAGACGGATCAATGAGAATGTGTATCGATTACCGTGAGTTAAACAAGTTAACAGTCAAGAAAATAGTATCCCCTTCCAAGAATTGATGATTTATTTGATCAATTGATTAGGGCCACTTACTTTTCAAAGATTGATTTATGATCTGGTTATCATCATCTAAAAATTTGAGAAGAAGATGTGTCGAAAACGACATTCTATACGCGCTATGGGCACTACGAGTTTTTGGTAATGTCGTTCGGGCTTACAAACGCACCAGCAACATTTATGGACATGATGAATATGGTATGCTATCCATATCTCAATAAACTTGTTATTATTTTTATCGATGATATTATGATATATTTTCGATCTGAGGAAGAGCACACAAATCATCTGTGACTGCTTCTAGAACTTTTGAAACAAGAAAATTTGTATGCCAAAATGTGAGTTATGGTTACGAGAAGTCCAATTTTCGGGCCATGTTATTTCTGAGTTAGGTATAAAGGTAGATCTCCTCAAAATTGAAGCCATCGAGAAGTGGAAGCACCAAAAACACCAACAGA